AGTTTTTTTTTCTTTTTTGTGATTTTCTGTTATTTGGTTATAATAGACTAATTTATTTTGATTTTTATGTATTATATTTAGATAAAGTGCATTAATTATGTTTATATTAGGCTTGCCTATCTGGAAATAAAGTTATTCTTCTATTAATAAATTATATACATTTCTGGGAACAATTCATAAAACCAGAGAATAATTTATACAACTTTCACCCGAGACATCAGTTGACCTACTTTCAAGATGTATCCTAATCACCAATTTCCTCATTTCAAACTTTATTGCTCCTTTGTCAAAAGGTGGTTCGCAAATGTTGAATTGGTCTTCCCATTCAAAAAATTACTTCAATGCTATTTTATTCGTCTGTAAAAAGTTCTTTCGGTTTGGTCAATATGAAATTTTGGATTTGTGGCTCTTGTCCAGCCCGAATTTTGTTCTTTTTAATCATTCTCTCTTTCTAGAGTTACTGCGAAGTCTTCCATAGGTCTTGTTATTTTTAAAACAGTTTTTAATTTGTTGTCTTTCAACTTGATTACAAAATTTTTAACTTTGAGAAATGAAATAATTTGAAATATTTATGAGATATATTTTAATTTATTATGTTTTCAGCTGGCGCTTCAGCGCGATCGGAAGAAAATCCAACTGGAGGAGATGCTACAAACAAAGATAGATTTTTTGTTCCTGGCATTACAGGTAGATTTAGAGAACAAATAGAAAAGCGTAAATTATTATGGCAGAAGAAGGAACCTGAAAAGCAAGAAACCGTTGTAAAGCCAGCTCCAAGCTTTGGAGTTGGAGGATCAAGAACAACAAAAGTTTGGGAAGCAACTACTTTTGCTCAAGACACTGATGGTGAGTACTTCTGGCAAAATACTTTATACAAAATACGAGTTTATAAAAAAATAAAGTGTGTTTAAAGAGATTCCTTTGCATAATTTCTGCATATCCAAATATTCCGTTTGAAACTACATGTATCCATTTTTTTTTTTCAGGTAAAGTCGCTAATAAATTCAAGAGACTCATGGGAATAAAATCTGCAACTGATGGCAACAGTACTGCTACTGAGGTTCTTAAGAAACAGGAAGAAATGTTTACTTCAATGGAACAACAGTATGAAGTAGCTCGAACTGCCACTCATACAATGAGAGGTGTAGGTTTAGGGTTTGGAAGTTATCCCCGATAATTTTTTTCAGAATTTGTTTGATATTTATGGATAAGGAATATTATATTTGATGTTTAAATTGGTTATTTTGTTGACTAGGCAATTACAGTTTTTTTGTAAATCCTACTTTTTTCGAGAATATATTTTTTGATTTAGGTCTAATTTACAATTCAGGTGTATAGAATGTTTTGTTTTGTTTTTGCAAAGATGCAATTGAATTCTACCATCAAATGGAAATCACTTTTTGAAATCTGATATAATGTGTTGTGTATAATCAAAATATATGGAAAGAACACTTCTGTATCGATAATCTCTGGTCAACAGGAGTTAATTTAATGAAAATAAGTTTACCTCAGCTTTCAACATTCATTCGTGGCTGTTAAAGTGATTGGGAATCTTACCTGTAGTTTTTTGGGGTAAGGTAGATTTTGTGATGTAATAAAGTTGAAAAAAAAAATTGAATTTTTATTTCACATAAATCATTGTTATAAGGTAACAAGAGTTACCTTATTAACATTATTACTTGATAGAGAAATCAAGATGTTGAAATATTTCTCCAGATTATTTATTACTGTACTGAAAAGTACAATTTTGTAATTTGTCAGAAAAAATTATTAGGTTGTTTGGTTTTTCACTTACACCATTTATTTTTTATGCTAAGGTGGCGTCTAAATTGTTCAGCTCTCTCCAGACTCTAGATCATAGGTGTTTTTTTATTCAATCTTTGTTGGGTGTTTCGTTATTCTGGACTAATCTTCAAATTCTCATATGATATGAGCAGCTGTCTCTCTTTGTTGCATTATTTGCAGGTAAGTAAGTCTTCTTTATATGACTATTTTGTTTGTCTTATTAATGGACATTGTCTAGTGAATAGCCATTCAATTATTTTGGGCAGATCCCTACTCGAAGCAATTCTTCGTTTTTTCACAGGTGGTCTCTATATTAGTTATAGATATATTTTCCAGTATGTTTCTTAATGATCTATTTCCTGGACATTTGTCTGGAAGTGCATGCAAGTCGTAGGTACACATATATTGACCGACTTGGTAACTGTTATGTTAATTTATATCCAGTATACTTCATTACGAATGTTTCATGAACAAACTTGATTGGGAAAAATTACTTCTGTGTAATTTAATGTCAAAGATTCTCGCATGTTTGGCATTGCTGTAATAGCATCTTACGAATTTTAATTTATGCAACTAAAACTTATGTAAGCAAACAAGTATTGTGGTTATTACAAAAACACCCTATCTCTTTTTCATATCCAATGTTGTCCTTATTCACCAGCAGGTGTGAGGTGCTCAGTTTGTGATTTGTAATATCTACACTTTCTACTCCATGGTACCTCAATTACTAGCAAATTCCTCAAATATTCCATTTCAATGTGATATCCCTGTAAATATGCAGTTGATGTTCGTGAAACCCACAACCCCAGACGAAATAATAGAACTATCTAGAAAACTAAAAAATAAACATTCCAGTGGAGAAGATGAAATTCCTACTAGTATTATGAAAAAAGGCTTAATTGCCATTAACAAAATCATAGCATATATCATCAATAATTCACTGAAGTATGGCATATTCTCAACAGGATTAAAAAGCTCCATTATGAAGCCAATCTTTAAAAAAGGTGATCCAGAGAGTCTAGAAAATTACCGACCAATATGCATCCCTCACAGTTTTTCAAAATTATTCGAACTAGCAATGTCGGTGAGAATTATAGAGTTTATGAATCAATGTAACTTATTTAGTAGGCTTCAACATGGATACTTACAGGGTAAATCAACACAAACGGCCATTCATCAATTCATACAAAATGTAACGAACATGATGGAAGAAAAATTGATAGCTCTTGGGATGTTCTGCATCTATCCAAAGCATATGACTGCTTGAATCATCAACTAATGTTAATAAAATTAGAAAGATATGGAATAAGAGGTTCAGCGCTAGAGTGGGTTGAAACCTACCTAATTGATCGCCTTCAGTCTGTAGAAATATTACAAAATGGAAGAGTCTATAAATCCGAAACCCTTCCCACAGACGTGGGGATTCCGCAGGGGAGCATTGCCGGCCCTCTTTTGTTCGTCATTTATTTGAACAACTTATGTAATCTAAACATAAACCAACGTCAGTTCAAAAGTATCTTCGTAGATGATATATTATTATATTTCCTATTATATTGTGAAACATCTCCATCTGAATATGATATGTATATTGTCTGTTTATGTATTAATACTCTGTTACATCATAATCTTCATTGTAATTAAAAAAAAAAAAAATTCCACTTTGAAATGTGTATGTATATGATGTAGTATATATATGATCATCTATAGTTATATCCCTCTAGATGAGGGATATCTGTGTTGTATTTGTATTTTATTTTAGTTTATAATATCTCATATTGTATTACACATGTCAGTTATGGGAAGGGTGGAAGACAGCCTCCGGCTAACCCGATCCCCTTTGTATAATATTGATAGAGAATAGTAGTTCTTGTGGAAATTTGTCCTTTTGGCAGGTATCCAAATACATCTGTTATGGTAATGGGTTTATGATGTGTTACGTTATAACCATTTTTTTTGATTAGGCAAATATCTGTAGTACCAATAATTATCACTACTGGCACAATTAATTGTACAAGTATCATTAGTTCATTGCTCTTGAGAACAATATCATCATCTTCGAATTTCAAAGTATCTCGTAGTACCACCTGTTTGGAGGTTTTGGTTATTTCAAAAGTTTTGTTCGTATGAGTCTACTTCAAACTGTAATATATCAGTGAAAATTCATTCGAAATAAGCGCCATTTCAATCAGTGCAATTTTGCCAAAGTAACACAAGTTGAATAATTCGTCACTGTAAAAATTGCTTGCTGGGGTTTCGATGAAGTCGACGAAGGTGGCTTTTGCCTGGTGCTGATTAGCGATGGTTATACCCTACTCGCCGGCGTGAAAGTCGGTTGGCGAGTGTTCTGAGGAGTATGGCGGGTGAGGCAGAAATTAGAAACTCAATTCGTTTAATTTTTCGGACGGTGATTAGTGAAACGTGCAGACGGATGTCATCGATGGATAGAATCAAAACCTCCGACGTAACTCAACTACAACTGTATCCTGGAAATAAATTGTTATGGATTACTGGAACGTCACTTATTTCCATGACATCCTTTTGATTTTGAAGTCATTGATGAGCAGTGAAGTAACGACCATGGTAGAACTATCATTACGAATATTTGTTATACTACATGAAAAATGAGAAATAAAACTTTCTATGCTTTTTCACCACTGACCTGTATTTGTAACTAACGTTAATGCAGTTTCGTCCTATGAGGGCATTTTCAAACGAATACAATAAACTGAAATAATTAACAATGGTAATCCTTATACACCACTGTAGGTAATAACAGACGATCCTTAACCGAGTATCTGAATTTTATTTACCTGTGACAATGTGAGTACGCTAATCTGAAATCCGGAAAATAGACTAGGTCGGGGTCATTCAGCAGGTTACATCCGCAATCCTTATGTTTATGGACAAGGTTCCCTAGTGGATTCAGTTCTGTGTTGATTCCATAGATGGCGTCTTCGTAGAGGGAAATGCCATCGCCCTTACTCAGGCTTGTCCTTTAAGGACAGTTGAGTCCAGCAATACAATTGTGGTTTAGCCTAGCACCACTGCTGATACCTATGGTGGGTCGAAACAATGCTGTCTGGTGTTGGATCATAACTAAAATATATGATCGCTGATATTGTTTAATACTCTAATTTAACATTCGATACCATTACTTCCCCTCCAAATGACTGTTTATAAATATGTCTATTATCTGTTTGTTTCAATGCAACAGCAATTCCGTGTTAGGAATCACACGTTAAAAGGTAAGACCTCGTTAATCCTTAGCTCGCACAAGTTTCTATTTTTGAGGGTTGTCGTTCGTAGGGGTGCGACAGCTGGTTAACGGAAAAACAGATTTTAAACAGAATAGCAGTATCTGTTATTAACGTATCTAAACTGTTTTTGTTGATTACTGTTGATGCATATTTCGAGCCTTTGACATTGTTGAAATTTCCTATTTGTTAAACTCTACTTTAGTCAAATTCATGATTCCTTTGCCAAATTGAATATATTCTGGTTCGACTGATTCGTTATGTATGATGTGTTTTTGTTTCTATGTTAGTGCCTTAAGTTTCTTGAATTGACTTTGGTGCTTTCGGTATATTAAACTACTAATTCTACACCTAACTTTGTCATGAAAAATGTCAAATTCTATCTGATGGAAAGTTCAGAGTACAATACCTTCAGATAATGTTGAGAACAGTGTTTTGCACTCTTCTTTCAGCCAGATCACTCGTGCCTTCATTATTGCCTTTTCTGCTACTGGTGTTTTTGTCCATAGGAAGTTTTCTTTCTCGTTTTTCATGAAGATCTCCTACCACGTAGTAACAGCTACATCCATCAAAATATTGTTATACTATTACTATACTATACTTTCAAATCAAGATCCTGATGAAACGACTACCCACTGCATCCTATTTAATTGAGTTATTACCTTTCAACAACTTTTCTGCAACATCTCAACACACAACTTCAATTTTAAGGGGATGCATGGCCTGTGAGAGTGATGACGTAATTTTTCACCATTGACATTTACTTGTGATTTCGATTGAATTATCAAATATTGGTCCATCTAAGGCAAACAAATTACAGTAATGATTCTATATATGTCACACACGTAAACATTGTAAGATTTGTAAATATCTTACGTCCAGTAATTCCACTGAGGTCCAGGTGGATTATGGTTACTTCATCTACAACAACTGTAAAAACAACTTGATAGCTGTAGGTAAGGGGATCGATAGAGAACTCAATCTTTGAGTATCAAATATGGACAAGGTTCCCTAGTGGATTCAGTTCTGTGTTGATTCCATAGATGGCGTCTTCGTATAGGGAAATGCCATCGCCCTTACTCATGCTTGTCCTTTAAGGACAGTTGAGTCCAGCAACACAATTGTGGTTTAGCCTAGCACCACTGCTGATACCTATGGTGGGTCGAAACAATGCTGTCTGGTGTTGGATCATAACTAAAATATATGATCGCTAGGTAAATCAGTAGAGAAATTTCTATACTTTCTTCAGATGGTTGCCGTTTTAGAAAATAATTATTTTCCGTTTAAAAAACAAAAAAAAATCACTTTTCAACAACGTCTCAATTGGAAACAACACATTAGAAAGAGTTCATAATCAACTTCATTATCATGTGATGATCAAAAAACAATAAATACTTCTGATATTAGTGTTTATTGAAAGAAAACTCATACAAATATATATCACCACTATGAATTTAATCATCACGCATTAATAAAAGTATGATCAGATGTGTATGATGGCTAAGACAGTTTGCAATTCATTTCCTAATCTGGAAGAGGAAACAACTTTTGGAAAGGTTTTGGCTTTCTACTTCTCCGTCTTGATACAAAACAATGAAAGAATCTTACAAAAAAAGGACGAAAACAATGAATTTTAAAAATAATCTCTTTGAGTAATTTACACATCTTTGTATATAGTTTATTTTGAAATTGTTTTCTTTCTTTGGAAGATTCCCAATTTTTTTTTGCATAAAAATGGAGAAGCAGAAAGCGCTTGTCTCATCATTCCATTTGAATTCCAGGACATCAGCTATGAAGACACATCTTCACCGGCAGCAGGAGGTTCCATATCTTAATGAGGATCTAGAAGTGATTTCGAATTGGGGTGAAAGTAACCAGGTTCAATTCAATGCCACAAAAACCCAGACACCGGTTTTCTCCAAGATAAATGTCTCCGAAAGGCTGCTTCTCAAAAGCTTGGAACACTGTTCCGAACCAGAAAACTATACACACCTCAGCAACTTTTGACGCTTTATAAAGCTCATATCAGGCCTTCTTTGGAGTATTGTTCTCATGTATGGAGCTCTGGCCCCAAACATACCCTGGATTCCATCCAGAAAAGGGCCATCTGCGCCTAATTGGAGGCGCGAACATCACTAGCAACCATGATAGTCTGGAACATCGAAGAAAGGTTGGAGATTTGTCTCTCTTCTATAGATACTTTCACGGGAGGTGGTCAAGTGACTTGGCACACTGGATTCCAACAAGAGCGGCACATATCAGAAATATGGGACGGATTGTGGCTGCTCATCGTTTTGAGGTTCAACTCCGTACACCTCGAACTTCACTGTTAAAGAACTCTTTCATCTGGTTATGGATTTAATCTCCAGTGATTCAAATCCAATGTGAATCGCTACTTTCGCACAGGCATCGCTTTTAGAGCGCCTTAAGGATTTTCCTGTAGTGCTGGTTGTCCTTATTCATGGGCGTAAAAACAGGAGTACAAAAAACATGTTTTCGATCCCGAAACTAAAATATATTGCAAGTTTAAAATGAACTCTCTACAAAGATGTGTAGATCATGCATAGAAGTTATATTCAGATACAAACTAGAAGAAAATGCCTTCCTGAAACTACTTTCGCATGAACAGTGAGTAACACGAAAGGAAAATACTTTTGAAACAACTACTTTCATATTCAGATTGTACTCCAATCATCCGTAATGAATTTGAATCAGATGTCTTTCATAGGAATGCTAAAAAATATAATATATGGCAGAGTTACAATATAAAATTTCACTTATATACTATCATTTTTAATGGCGGACTTTACAGCGTTCTGGATAACTTCACAAGATGAAGAATTCAATTCTTTCAAAACATTACGACTTTGTCGTAAATGACTTAAATCTACTCATGAGTATATTTAGATCAACACCAGACCAAGTCATTTAAACTAGCCATAGGTCTCATCAGTGGTGCCTGAATAAGTAGAGACAATTACAGCTTGTCAAATCTAGGAAGCGACTTCAAAGTCTCGGCTTAGAACCTTCCCTAAGATGCGCGTTCGTTAGGAGACTGTGTGAGAGAGAGGGAGATGGAATTCTCAAGTCTCAAGCCTAATTTTGACAAGCTATAGGACAAGGTTCCCTNGTCGCCTTGGGGAAACCAAAAAATCAGATGTAGATAAACATGCTCTCAAAGAAGGCTCTCACATTATCTCATTTGAGGATACACAAATACTTGATAAAACTCAAAATTACTATCCAAGAATATATAGATAGGCAATAGGAATAATTTCAATAGAAAGGAAGAGACAATGAACATTAGTAAAATATGGGTACCTGTCCTTAATTGTACACAAACAGGTCATTTAATCCAATTAACCGGAGACAAATTCCAACAATGTAATTTCTGCGTTGAGAACAACTCGAGTACTTCGACTGTTAGATCATCACTTTTGATAATGTCTATCGCAATAGTAGACGACGTCAGGAATAAAAACATGCAGGCCGCAGCCAAAAAACACGGGAAATAGCTTTGACAGAATTATACTTCTTTTTTTATGAAACCCACATGTTGATTTGATCGTCCATACTGTGGTCAAATAAAGGAAAATGGATGTATTAAATATAGAAGAATTTTAAGACAAAATACTACAGTTATAATAATACACGCAAATAATTTGCATATTCATTTCACGAATGGTTCGAAATGTCTCCCGTTATTTTATATACATGACCGTACTATTCTGAGAAAATTAAATTCAAGTTTTCACAGAACGTTATTATTTTGATACATATTGAGGAATTTTTCTCTCATTTTCAATCATTTTATAATTGTTGCAGAAGTTTCGGTAGCATCATCATGTATAAAACATAAATTAGTTCTATTAATTAAGAAAACATCTTCCAGAATTTAATTCAAATTATTTTCCAGGAAATTTAAACATTTTCTCCAAGTGAGAGCATATCCAAAAAATTCATTTGCCATAATTCCAGTCCCAATATTTCAAAAGAATATTGAAAATGATAATTCTATTCTCTTCTGCAAAATTGTGAATTCCTCAAATCAAAAATACCCTTTCTTGTAAAAGTTGACTCATCTGTGAATAATATTTCATTCACGAAGTTGGCATTATTTCAATATATTTTGATTATCCAGATACAGAAGACAAGTCCCTTTTTCTAATCTCCAACACATAACACTTGAACATTAACCAAATGAATGGAGAGATTTCAACTTGATGGTTAATTGTCATACATTCGTGCAATGAAAATTTTTCTCTTCATAACAAATTTTTAAGTACCTATCTCAAAAGTGGTTGAATATTATTGATCCGAACATGTATACATTTTTTGATCAAAATTAATTTGAGATTTTGGAAATATATAATTTCAATAATCCTGCCACTAGTTTCAAAATAGGGAATAAAAAAAAATTCCTTCAAAGAAGGTGAAAATATAATATTTCATCACTCTTCTTCATGCCTTTGATGAAGCAGAGAAACTTCAGTTCTGTCTCAAAAAGAATGTGGTACATAGAGACCTGAAATGTTTTTTTTAATCTCAAAAATTAGTAATTATGACGAAAAACCGATTTTTATTTTTCACATTCAACACTGCTGAACAGCTTGACCGATCTATTAGAACATATTTCTCTGTCCGAACGACCACTGATAATATGGCAATAAGGTGGCGCTTCTCCCCATAACTCTCAAACTGTCATCCATCACAGAAGTCCAATGCGCTGGCCAGTTCGTTCCCTTGATATGGCTCCACAATTTTTTTTTAAATGGAGGTTATCTAAAAGATATTGCATAGAAAATACCTTGAGTAGATTTGGAAGGTGCCAAACCAACACACCAGCTATGATTACATCGATATGAACTAAAAAATTCATGAGACAATATGAAACTTGTGTGGAATGAGGTGGAGCGCAGTTGGAACAGAATTTGCAGAGTTTGTGAAATTAAAATTTTGGTGGAAAATAACTTCAAAGCATTTCTGTTATAAACAATGCCACATATCTGTATTAACAATGATATGAAGACTCAACTGAAGTATTTAACTGTTGGGGGTGAAAAAAAAGTTGAAATTGAAAGGGTATATTTTTAGGAGAGATTCATTTTTGGGAAAACTTTTGGCTTTCTACTACTCCATCTGTATACAAAATCTGTATCCAAAGAAAGGAAACGATCAATTTCAAAAATTAACTCTATACATAGATGTGTAGATCATGTATTCTATCAAACTTTGTAATTTTATGGAGGAATCACTCAAGAGCTGAATACCTAGTTTTTTTGAGTAAACAAATGAATATCATGAATATCAATATTGCATGTGTAATATACTACATGTATCACATAAACTCACATTAGAATTATGCCAGGATACAAAAATGTGAAAATATACAGGGTGTTACATTTGAATTAAGGATGTAGATACCAAATTTTGGTATAACCAGAAGGGTTGGAAAAACGTCATTATTTTCATTCGATAAAACATATTCAGAAACCTATCGTTCCCAAATTTCAGGATATGAATCGTATTATTCTCCATACAGTTAACTAACGGTCATCATGCTGTACCCTTTCTATATTTACATTTGCTTAAAAAACAACAAATGTTTCGGGCTTCTGCCATCATTAGGTTCTACAATATGAAATCAGAAATTATTAAATCTCTGTTTCAGTGGTATGACACTGTCAGTCAGTGAAGGACTTAAGTTCTTAAAATCAACGTTATCCTACACAGATAATTAGTGTGTTGATAGATTTTCTATTCAACTGTGCAAAGAATTACACCACAAACAGGAAGGCATCCAAACTAAAACTAACTTTTTCTGTTATTACAGTAAATGTTTGAAATGTTCCCCGTTGATCTCCTGGCAAAAATAGAGTTTATTTTCAGTTCCAGTCCTGACGCTTTGCAAAATATCGCTAGTAATTGTTGCACACACTTCTGTAATCCGTGCAAGCAACTCCTGAATAGAATGACACTGAGTCTCATAAACTTTAGAATTCAGGTAACCCCATGAGAATAAATCTAAAGGAGTTAGATCTGGTGATCTTGGAGGCCATTCCACAGATCCTTAGCGCCCTACCCATCGTCCTGCATAAACAGTATTCAAATAAGTTCTCACAGCAACTGAAAAATGAGGAGGAACTCCAATCTTGTTGCAGAATGATGTCCACGTCAAATTCGTCTAAATTATTTTCAACAGTTGCCACTATCAGTGGATCTATCACTGTTTATAGCATTTCCACCTATAATGTGGTCACCCAGTGTTCCTGCCCACACAATAACTTTTTGGGGAAACTGGGTATGAGTCTAGCGTAAAAGTCGAGGATTTTCATCGGACAAATATCTCACATTTTGTCTATGCACGTGACTGTTTAAAAAAAAAGTAGCATCATCACTGAAACAAATGTGTTTCAAATAGCTGGGAGTTTGCAAAATATTGTTAGAGGCAATTTCACAATATTCTAGAGGGTGGTCTGGATCATCGTCCGTCAGTTCATGCACCATTTTTATTTTGTAGGGATGAAATTTACTTTTTTTTTAAACTCTCAATACCGTCATCTGCGAAACCTCACAATTCAAGGCAGCAGTTCTACTTGATGAGGACGGATTATTCACAAACTCGCTCATAATGTCCACTTGTTTATCTTCCCGTGTAGTTGATCGCCCAGAACGTGTTTCATTTTGCACACCACCGTTCTTATAAATTTTTTCCACTAACTGTTTGAAATGATGTCTATCGATAGGGCGATCTGGCAAATGTTCATTGAAGTTTACAGTCTCATGATAATTGAGATGAGCCTCACCAAAAATAACAATCGCTTAGCACGTGGTGCAACCATTGTTTGAAGATGAACAGCAAGCACAACTAACAGCTAGAATACACTGACTCACACTCTCTGTGATATCAGTTTCTCGTATTGACAATTTATCCTCAAAAATCCAAAAACACCTACAAAAACGTGCAGTTAATATGTAAGCAAATGACAAATACATCTCACTTGACCTCTGAACCAAAACCGATATCATACAGGGCCGTTCGGAATTTTCAATTCTAAGGGTTATTGCGCTATGTTAATTGTCGTTATTCTTAAGCAATCATAACTCTTGAAATAATGTAGCAAATTTCAATTCCTTCTGATGGTTGAATAGAGAAGAAATCCCCCTTTCAAATGAACAACTACTCACCACCCCATGCTATTTAAATTTTTCCAAAGAGTTGCTCCCTTCCAGTAAGGGATGAAATTAGGGGTGAACTATTCATACTCAAATGTACATTGTAGAAATCAAAAATCGACGTGTCTGGGCGATTTTCCTAACAAGAGTCCAGTAACGAGTTAAACAGGGGGGGTACCACTTATGATACGCACTGTTTGTTGTTTCAAGTTTTTTATGTGTCAAACAGTCTATAGTTAAGAAAAAATCAAAAACATGATAATCAACAATTTCTAAGTGAAATTGATTAACATAAATTTATGTTTTCGTAACTTCGTAATATTTTGAATCTGAAAATGACAAGAAGTCAAAACATGATAATCAACAATTTGTAAGTGAAATTGATTAACATAAATTTATGTTTTCGTAACTTCGTAATATTTTGAATCTGAAAATGACAAGAAGTCAAAAAGTATGCTGCTGTTTTCAAAACAAATATGTAGTTGTAATAATTTTACTTTAATTTTGAACGAATTTGTCAGGGGATACATTACAAAGAAAAATAGGTATATATTGATCCTAAATCCTTACCCAAAATACCGAACTTGCATGAGAATCTCTGCATCCCATGTAGAATGGTATAACAGTGACTCGAACATTTTCTGTTGTTTCTTTATGAACATCTGACAATTCCAACCAAGGATGATTTTTATTTTGCCATGCCTTGAGACCAATCAGAAATTTCAAATTAATCAGAAACCAATATTTACCAGACATGCGCGTTGATAACGATTTACAAACAGTTGGAAATCTGTTTGTGACTCATGGTTGGAACGAACCTTATATGTACGCAAAATACATCTCACTTGACCTCTGAACCAAAACCGATATCATACAGGGCCGAATTTTCAATTCTAAGGGTTATTGCGTTATGTTAATTGTCGTTATTCTTAAGCAATCATAACTCTTGAAATAATGTAGCAAATTTCAATTCCTTTGCATGGTTGAATAGAGAAGAAAACCCCCTTTCAAATGAGCTACTACTCACTACCCCATGCTATTTAAATTTTTCCAAAGAGTTGCTCCCTTCCAGTAAGGGATGAAATTAGGGGTGAAATGTTCATAATCTAATGTACATTGTAGAAATCAAAAATCGACGTATCTTGGCAATTTTCATAACAAGAGATCAGTAACGAGTTAAATAGGGGGGGGTATCACTTATGATACGCACTGTCTGTTGTTTCAAGTTTTTTATTTGTCAAACACTCTATAGTTAAGAAAAAATTAAAAACATGATAATCAACAATTTGTAAGTGAAATTGATTAACATAAATTTATGTTTTCGTAACTTCGTAATATTTTGAATCTGAAAATGACAAGAAGTCAAAAAGTATGCTGCTGTTTTCAAAACAAATATGTAGTTGTAATAATTTTACTTTAATTTTGAACGAATTTGTCAGGGGATACATTACAAAGAAAAATAGGTATATATTGATCCTAAATCCTTACCCAAAATACCGAACTTGCATGAGAATCTCTGCATCCCATGTAGAATGGTATAACAGTGACTCGAACATTTTCTGTTGTTTCTTTATGAACATCTGACAATTCCAACCAAGGATGATTTTTATTTTGCCATGCCTTGAGCGTTTCTTGAGCAGTGAATGGAGGATCTGTAGAAAGGAAACACATTGCTTGATAATATTATTAGGTTGTTTCAAAAGTTTTGTCCGTTTTTATGAGTCTACTTCAAACCGTAATATCTTAGTGAATACTTATTCAATTGATTTGAAATAAGCGCCATTTGAATCAGGGTACTTTAACCAATGTAAAACAAGTCAACTAATTCCGTCAGCATGAAAATTGTGTACTCGGGATTCGATGAAGCCGACGAAGGCCGTTTATGCCTGGTTCTGAATGGCAAAGATTCTACTGGTGAGAAAGTAATCGAAATGCTTGAAAAAATGGTAGTCGGTTGGAAGGAAGTTTGGGGAGTATGNCTCAACCAGGTTCACACATGATTTCCAAACGTAATACTTTTTAAAGTTGGGTTTCATAATCTTATGTATGGTTGATATGTGGATATGCAGGCAGTATTAAGAAGACTTTCATGAAATAATGAAATATCCAACATGATACCCTCTCAAACATTTTTTCAAATCAAATTTAGGCAATTAGCAGGATAAATGATGTAATAGTGAAAGTGAATATTCATATACCTCCTTTAGGATTAGGTGTCAAAAACTTGTCGAATAATTCATGGTTCAAAGGGGTTTTTTCTGCACTAACATAAGGGATGATATCTTCATGAGCAACATAGTCGAGACCTGGTATTGCATATAAACTTCTAGAAGATTCCTGATTCCCCAAAAAAGTGACAGCTTCAGTTTGAGCTCTCTAAAAATTGTTCACGTTTACATAATATGAGTAAAATATTCAACTTATCTACATATGACTTACAATAAAAGGGCAATCTCTTTGATCGATAAGGACTTGATAAAAAGTATGAGTGCGTCCTCTAACTTCTTTTCCAACTCCAGATGGTGATTCCTCATCATTTCCTCCTCTATTAGGAAGATCCCTATCATAAACTCTGGCCAGCCATGGAAACAGAACAACACCTCGGTATCCAAACACCCTATGTAGGATTAACTGGCCAGTTTCATATCTTCCTGATACTTTCGGAGTTTCCAATCTTCCAACTTCTGCGAGTCTAGAAATAACCTAAACTCTTGAACACAGTAATAATAATACGTGAATCTACAAATTGTGGCATAAAGTGGATTTAGAGAAATAACATTTTCTACACAGAATTCTTATTATACTATAGTCAAAGTAGGTTTAGCTGGCCAAAATGGCATTAACAGAATATGATCATAATTAATACCATAAAATTATGTTACTCAGCTTTCATTTGATGTAAGGACAGTTATTCCATTTATATCGTGAC